CAATGAGAGACGGATTGCCTTGGGTAGGGGAAAAGTTATATATACCAACAACTCAAAGACTAACTTTCATGCAACTTTGCCATGACACAAAATCAGCAGGGCATTTTGGATTTGTAAAAACGTTACACTTAATTAAACGGCAATTTTGGTGGCCATCAATAAAAAAGGACATAGAAAGTTATGTTGCCAGCTGCCCAACCTGTGCATCAGCAAAGAAGTTGCAAGGGAAATCGCCAGGGCTATTACAACCAGTGGCAAGTCCCTCAGCCCCCTGGAGGGAAATAGCCATGGATTTTATAGTGGAATTGCCTGAAAGCAATGGGAATACTGTTATCTGGACAGTCACGGACCTATTTTCCAAACAGGTGCACTTTATCCCTTGCCAAAAAATTCCCACTGCAAAGGCCTTAGCAAAACTTTTTATCCAGCACATTTACAGATTGCACGGGGCACCCCAACGCATCATCTCTGATAGGGGAGTGCAATTTACGTCTACCTTTTGGAAGGAATTTTTATCCCTCTTAGGGACCACTCAGGGACTGACATCTAGCCATCACCCTCAGACAGATGGACAAGCGGAACGCTGCCAGTCGGTACTTGAGCAATATTTGAGATGTTTTTTAAATTTCCAACAGAGTGATTGGACGGACTTACTTCCTTTTGCAGAAGTTGCCTACAATAATGCAGTCCACTCCAGCACAGGCTACACTCCTTTTCAAATAGCCAACGGTCAAAGTTTCAACCCTATGCCAGAGTTAACCCCAAAAGAACCAACGATCCCTTCACTGAAAGAATGGATGGAAAACCTACAAAACACCTGGCCAATAGTCAGAAAATCACTAGATGAAGCTAGGCGGGCATACAAAGCACAAGCCGATAAAAAAAGGGTTGAGCCTACACCATTCATTATAGGAGAAATGGTGTACTTATCTACAAAATACCTAAAGTCCCTACAGCCCTGTAAAAAACTTGGACCAAAATATATAGGACCTTTTCCAATTAAAAGGATCATAAATCCAGTAACAGTAGAATTAGAATTACCCAAAAACCTCAGGCAAATACACCCAATTTTTCATTGCAGCTTGCTGAAAAGAGAGCATCAGTCACCTCTACGGCCAAAAATCCCCCCCCCACCACCTCCAATCATGGTGGAGGGGGAACAACACTTCGAAATAAAAGAGATCCTTGACTCTAGGAGATATCGTGGAACAACTCAGTACCTAGTTGCCTGGAAACACCTCCCTGCCTCACAAAATGAGTGGGTCCATAAACGTCACGTCAGAGCCCCGAAGCTATTGAAGAAGTTTCACACAGAGTATCCTAACAAGCCTAACTAAATTTTTTACTTGTGTTTTCTTTCAGGTGGATCTCTCTTATTGTTAAGAGGGGCCGGATGTCAGAATCCAATTATATTTCATCTTTAATTATCAAACATAGAAACTCCCAATTCTGCCTTCTCTGGATTCTGCCATAAGAGGGAGAAAAGGGGGAGAGCAAAGGGGCTTTATGGCCCTCACTTCCTTCAGCACACTTCAAAGGACTGAATGTGTGTTTATTGTGGCCTCTAAGCTTTAACATATCAAAGAAGAGTAATTGCCTTTCATGTAGTTATCTGAAGTCTCCATCCAGACGGAAGAAGAAAGGGGATGGAATTGTGATACTTGAAACTATCACTGGAAGGGGGGTTGATTGGGTGGGACTACTGGGGAACCCCTTAAAACCTTGAATGGGAGAGCTTGAACCCCAAGTCCTGTCTAGCATGCCTGCAACCATTTTCTCTTAATAAAGGATTCCTGTTGGAAGAGCTATTCCAAGAGTTCTGTCTTCTTAAGATGCAAAGTGGGGTGGGTCCTTACACTATCTATCTATCTATCTATCTATCTATCTATCTATCTATCTATCTATCTATCTATCTATCTATCTATCTATCTATCTCCTCCTCTTCCTCCTCCTCCCTCTCCTTCTCCTTTCCTGCTCATTATCTATCTTCTCCTTCTGTTTCTCCTTCTCCTGCTGGCTCCAATGTTCTTCCAGCAATGCCTGGAACCAAATGCTATGTGCGAAATCCTCCCCAGTAATCTGATTAGCAAGGCAATCACGCTTGGCTCTGGCTGTAAATAGGGTCATTTGTTATAAGCCGTTTTTCTTCGCAGAGCTTGCAGCTGCCAACAATCTTTACCTTAAAACATGGGGGGGGGGGTTGTGGATCACAGGGTGCAGCCCCCGAGTTTTGTGCTTCATGGGCCGCTTATAAACTTCAGCAGAAAATTACCCTTATGCCAAGTGTTCTGGTCTTTAGTCATTCTGAAGCAGACGGTTTGCAGATTTTTCCTTCTCCTACAGTAGCTGGGCTGATGCTGCTAGAATACGCCTTGCTTGCTTTTCACTTAACACAGCATTTACACAGCCATTAATGTGTAAGTGAGGTTTATAGCTAAAGCATTTAGTGTCACTCCTGTTAATACGACTTCGATCACAGTGGAAATTCACAGGATGTAGCCCTTCCTTCCTTCCTTCCTTCCTTCCTTTTTCTTTCTTTCTTTTTGTTTCTTCTTCCTTCCTTTCTTTTCTTTTTCTTTCTCCTTCCTTCCTCTTTCTTTCTTTCTTTCTTCTTTCTTTCTTTCTTTCTTTCTTTCTTTCTTTCTTTCTTTCTTTCTTTCTTTCTTTCTTTCTTTCTTTCTTTCTTTCTTTCTTTCTTTCTCTTTCTTTCTTTCTTCTTCTTTCTTTCTTTCTTTCTTTCTTTCTTTCTTTCTTTCTTTCTCTGTCCCGGCAGGCAGAATTTCAACTGAGGAAGCTTCGACATTCCAGGGGATAGGTCACAAAGGGTCAGCTTTTGATCAAATGGGGATTTTTACTGGGGAAATGGGGGGGGGGAGGATCCTTCGTTGGAAAGGATCCAATCTGGGTAGTCACCAGGACCAGGGGTTTTGTCTCATGAACTTTCGGACTCAGGGAACTACAGATAGTCCTCAACTTACGACAAGCGAGTACCGAATTTCTGTTGCTAAGTGACACATTTGTTAAGTGAGTTTTGCTCCCTTTTACAACAGTCGTTGCCACAGTCGTTAAGTAAATCACTGCAGTTGGTGAATTAGTAATGGTTGTTACTTGCCACAGTTGTTTAATGAAACTGGCTTCCCCATTGACTTTGCTTGTGAGGAGGTCGCAAAAGAGGGTAACATGACCCAGAGACACTGCAACCATCATAAATATGAGTCAGTTGCCCCAAGTGTCCGAATTTTGATCACGTGACCATGGGAACGCTGCAATTGTTGTTAAGCGTGAAAGACTTTTTCAGTGATGTTGTAACTTTGAACGGTTACTAAATGAACTATTGTTAAGTCGAGAACTACCTGTGTATCTAAGTATCACACACAGAACAGGCCACAGAGATGTTCCCTGCACAAATCCGAAAGCTTGGAAGATGGACCCAGATTGGATCCTGCAACATTATCCTGGATACAGGTATATTTTACCTTCATTCATAACCATTTTGGTCCACACAATTGCTCAGTGCAGGAACAATTAAAGTATGGCAAAGAGGTAACGAACCAAACCACACTATGATAATTCAAATTGCACTTGTGTCAATGGAAAAGGATATCTATAGCTCAGGGTTAAACTGCTGGTGCTCTCTGAGTGCAATTTAATTGTGCCAATTTAACTGGGCTTTAATTTAAATAGCTCAACTTATTTTAATCTGCATTTTGTTGTTGTTAGTTGCGAAGTTGTGTCTGACCCATCACGACCCCATGGACAACATTCCTCCAGGCCTTCCTGTCCTCTACCATCTTCTGGAGTCCATTTAAGCTCACACCTCCTGCTTCAGTGACTTCATCCAGCCACCTCCTTCTCTGTCGTTCCATTCTTCTATTGCCCTCCATCTTTCCCAGTATCAGGCTCTTCTCCAGTGAGTCCTTCCTTCTCATTAGGTGGCCGAAGTATTTGAGTTTCAACTTCAGGATCTGGCCTTCTAAAGAGCAGTCAGGGTTGACCTCCTCTAGGACTGACCGGTTTGATCGCCTTGTAGTCCAGGGGACTCGCAGGAGTCTTCTCCAGCACCATAGTTCAGAGGCCTCCATTCTTTGGCGCTCAGCCTTTCTTATGGTCCAGCTTTCACAGCCGTACATTGCAACTGGGAAAACCATGGCCTTGACTATACGCACTTTTGTTGGCAGGGTGATGTCTCTGCTTTTTAGTATATTGCCTCGATTTGCCATCTCATAATAAAGACCACGAAAGCACAACATGGCTGCTATGCCCGCAGTTTTAATTGTTCAATATTTTAAAATTCAATAATAGATAAAACAAATTTCTTGGGGAAGGACAACCCTTCTCAGTTTGAGATTCATTTAGCAAAGTCTTCTTTTCCTTATTAGTTCTAAGTAAGGGACATCAAAGACCAGGCCAATTCCACAATAATAACAACAACAACAACAACAACAGCAGCAGCAACAACAACATAATAAAAAAACTATAACAGCAACAATGTAATAAAAAACTTTTAAACATTTTTCCCGCCTTATTTTATACTCTACTTTTAAAAGTGTGTGTGTGTGTGTGTGTGTGTGCGCGCGCGCGCGCGCGCAAGTTTTGGGGACGGCCAGAGCAGAAACTAAACAAATCAACTTTTGTATTTGATTTCAATAAACAAAACTTCCTTTTGAAAACAAACAACGCGACTTCTTCTCAGCCAAGGAAATCGCGCCTGCGCAGTGAAACTTTTCAAGCCAAACCTTGAGGGGATGGAAAAAAAGAGCGGGGCACGTGACGGAAAAACCATAGAGTTCGACGACGGGGGTTGAAAGGAAGCGCAGAAAAAAACCCTGGCTCCGTTTGAAACGCTTCTCCCGGTCTTTCAAAACCCAAGGGGGAAGACACGTGTACCTACTCGGACTGCTTCTCACGTGGGAAGGATAGTTCCACCCGCTCTAGAGCGGCACCCTCCAGCCCTCAAACGGAACTTCCGTTACGTTCGCCAATGAAACGACGGGATGACCGGAAGCGGCGGGGTTTGGCGCGGCAAAGAGGCTTTTGGAGTCCTCTTTCGGGGCCGCAGGGCAAAATTTCTCCTCAGGATCGCCGCGGTCATGGCCAGCCAGTCTCAGGGCATCCAGCAGCTGCTTCAGGCCGAGAAACGCGCCGCCGAGAAGGTGGCCGAGGCCCGCAAGCGTGAGTGGCCGACCTGGCTGCGGAGGGAACAAGCGGGGCTCTTTCCGAGGGGCTGGGACTACACCTCCCATCGCCCCCGGCCCTCAAGGGAGGGAGTCATCTCAGGCCTTTCTAGGCCTCTTGTATGGGAACGGTAGTCCCAAGGGAATGGGCCCCGGCCCGCCACCCATCATCCCCACCCATTAGGGGAAGGGGAAGCTTGGAACCACTACATATCCCATCATCCTGCGTGGAAATGGCCAGCCGTAGCCTCAATATAGGCCTTGCACGGCCTGCTTAATCCATTCTGTCCAAATTCTCTCCCTGATGATGGGGTGGGTGGGTTGGTTGGTTGGATTACACCTCCCATCGTCCCCAGACCATAAGGGAAAGGCTTGGTCTACTACAGCCTTTCCAGCCCAGACTGCATGGGAGCGGTAGTCCAGAGGGATTAGGTCCCATGTCTCATCATTCCCAGCTTTTCGGAAAAGGGAAGGCCTAGAGTCACCACATGTCCCATCATCCTGCATGGGAATGGCTGCTCCTAGCCTCCCCAGGGACCTTACACTGCCTGTTTCGTCCATTCAGAGGTTTTTGCTCCCATTTCCTTTGCATGGTGGTGATGGTGGTACTGGGGGTGTCTGTGGTTAGACTACATCACCTATGCTCCCCAGCATACAAGACCGATAGGCTACTTTAAAACCGAATCCAAATAAGGGTCGGTGCCTTTTCCTTGCCTGCTTTTCATTCATGCCTTTTCCTTGCCTGCTTTTTATGGGTCTGGGGTTTTAATTTGGTTGTTGTGTTTGTTATTGATTTGTGCACTTGGCTCATCAGTTGTGCTATTTAGTGACTTTTAATTAGGGGAGCTGCCCAGAATTCCAGATGAGAGACGGTCGGCTCTACAAATTGAATCAATGAACGAATGGATGGATGGATTTCTGGATCAGAGCAATTCTATTATTTCTGATTCTGAGGGGGTATAAATAAATAATGGAGCGATAAGAAGAATTTGCCCTAAATTGACTTTTCCTAAGGGGGAAAAAAAAAAAACCAGGCTAGGGGTTCAGAAGCATTGACTCATCCTAGAGATTGCCTGTCTAGTTTGTTTATTTATTAACTATCTCAAGGGCTGTGATTCTGGGCAGCTTATAATTAAAAACAACATACAGTAAACAAAAATATACTGTTTCATTAAAAAAATAAAAAAAACAGTCAACAAAATTATAAGGAACATTGTTACCACAAAGCTAAAAATAATCATCCTACTGAGCATAATCGAGAAATGAGCTCACTAAAGCATGTCCTTCCTTTCTCGTTTTTCTAGGTTTTAATTCTCCTGTTTGAAAGCTTTTAAAAACTGCTTTCATTGGGGAAGTTTTCCTAAGGTGATTTTTGCTGTAGCTGTAAGCTTCCCGTGTAGTTTTTCCTCCGAAGGTCAAGCTGCAAACCCCTTAATGCTGTTGAACCTCGCAGAATTTGATGGCCAGCATATCCTGAGAAAAATGTATTATGATATATGGAATATTGTGATCAAAACCAAATCTTTGAAACATCTCCCCCAGCCTATTCCCTAGCAGAGAGCTTGGTTTGCATTATTCATTATGAAGGGAAGCTTCAATCCAAGGAAAGGAGACAAATCAGGAATCTGAAATACATCCTGCCTTCCTCTGAGAATAATTGTTGCATTCGGTTGCATAACTTACTTATGTAAAACCAATTTTAGTTTGCAGGCTTCCTGTGGTCTGCATAATGTCAGTTGCATACTGATAGTTCCCCCAAGGTCTGACAGTGCATCATTTTAACTTGATTAAAACTGAATTGTGATGGTTATGGAATGTTGGTGTATTATTAAATACCTTGCCGGGAATTCAGCTTAACTAAAACCGCTGGTTTTTAAATTGTATTTTCAGTCTCTCCACCTTTGCGTGAATCTTTAATATAGCAGTCTCTAGAACCTTCAACTGGCAAGAATCCAAGAAAGGAACTTAGTCAGGCCAAGAGCAGTGGAGTCATATCATGTGCTGGAAAAGTTGTATTACTAGGAAAATAATTCTGACTAATGTGCATGTTCGTAAGTCTTTAGTTAAGAAACTGACTAGAGCCAACTCTGAATGTTCAAAAACTGATTGATTGTCTCCACATATCAGGCTTGTGGTTTCCGGTTCTGTGGGCTAAATTTTCTGGAAAAGACAAACTTTACGCATTTGGACCTGATTCCAATTAGTATCGTGGAATTGGTTATTTGGCCTGGAAGTAATCTCCTGTCTTTGGGGATTTATCCCATGTAATACAGATAATGCTTGATACACAACCACAATTGAGCCCCAAATGTATGTTGTTTAAGCAAGACACTTGTTAAGTGAGTTTTGCCACATTTTGCGACCTGTCTTGCCACCGTTGTTAAATGAACCACGGCAGTTGTTAACGTAGTAACACGGTGGTTTTCCTTGGCAACTGATGTGTTCCTCAGCTTGTAAATTATACATTTTAAGGGTGGTTTTTTATATATATATATATATATATATATATATATATATATATATATATATATATATATATATAAAAGCTACCTGGGTTTGTTGCTGTGTCCACCTAACACACGAAAGGAAGAGCTTTGTGAGATATTTTTAGGCTTTTAGATTACTTCCAGAATACGACGTTACCGCCTGAAATTAATCTCAGAAAAGCCTCTTTTCTGTTTTCACAATCTGAACGTTTTGCTGCTGTTTTTTTTTTTTTTCTTCTCAAAACCAGGGAAGAATCGGCGACTGAAGCAGGCTAAAGAAGAAGCTCAGGCCGAGATTGAACAGTATCGCTTGCAGAGGGAGAAGGACTTCAAAGCCAAAGAAGCCGCAGTGTGTTAAATTCTATGCTGGTTAATCTCTCTCTGTCTTGCTGTCTGTTTGTATATTAGAATGGAAATTCAGTTGGGGGTGCAAAATGCTTTGTAGTGGCTTTACCCCCCTTTGCCCCTTTGACGCTCAGCCCTTCTCTCTTGCTAATACAGGTAGTCCTCAACTTACAGCAGTTTGTTAGTGACCACTCAAAGTTACAACACCATCGAAAAATGACTGCTTTTCACAGTTACGACCTTTGCAGCATTCCCCCATGGTCACGTGATCAAAATTCGGACACTTGGCAGCGGACTCATACTTATGACGGTCACGTGATCCCCTTTTGGGACCTTCTGGCAAGCAAAGTCAGTGGGGGAAGTCAGATTAATCAACAACCAGCAGTGTGCTGGAGCTGCTAAAAAAGCCAACACAGTGCTAGCTGCATTAACAGAGGGATAGATTCAAGATCATGTGAAGTATTAATATCACTTGACAAGGCCTTGGTAAGGCCACACTTGGAATACGGCCTCCCGTTTTGGTCACCGCGATGTAAAAAAGATGTTGAGACTCTAGAAAGAGTACAGAGAAGAGCAACTAAGATAATTAGGGGACTGGAGGCTAAAACATATAAGGAACGGTTGCTGGAATTGGGTATGTCTAGTTTAATGAAGAGAAGGACGAGGGGGGACAGGATAGCAGTGTTCCAATATCTCAGGGGCTGCCCCAAAGAAGAGGGCGTCAAGCTATTTTCCAAGGTGCCTGAAGGCAGGACAAGAAGCAACGGATGGAAACTAACCAAGGAGAGAAGCAACCTAGAACTAAGGAGAAACTTCCTGACAGTTAGAACAATTAACCAGTGGAACAACCTGCCTCCAGAAGCGGTAAATGCTCCAACACTGGAAGTTTTTAAGAAGAAGTTGGACAGCCATTTGTCCGAATTGGTATAGGGTTGCCTGCCTGAGCAGGGGGTTGGACTTGATGACCTCCAAGGTCCCTTCCAACTTTATTATTATTATTATTATTGCTAATTTACCAACTGTAGCGATTTCCTTAAGAACGCTGGCAAGAAAGGTTGTAACCTGGGGCAAAATTTATACCAATGTCTCACTTAACAGCAGAAAGTTTGGGCTCCATTGTGGTAGTAAGTTGAGGACTATCTGTAATTTCTCTGTTTTGGGTTTCGCCCAAAAAACATCTGTTTTTTTGTGGTTTTTCCCCCTTTTGAAAGGACAAGCGTTCAGTCTAGGACTCTTAAGCACTAAATTGGCTTCCGCAGTTTGGGGGAATAGTCCTCACATGACTCTGGGCTGTTAAAAAAGAAACAAAACCCAGATTTTTTGTTTGTTTGTGTGTGTGTGTTTGTTTTTGGCTTGCTTAAGCCCTGCTAGAAGCATTGAAGGTCCTTGGGGAAATGCAGAACTTAACTGGACGAGCTGATCTTAAATGGGTGCCTTCATTTTTCTTTTGTCCCCATTTATCACAGGCACTCGGTTCCCACGGCAGTTCCGCCACCGAGGTGGAACAGGGAACCCAGGAGAAGATGGCTGTTCTTCAGGAGAATTTCCAAAAGAATCAGGAGGAAGTGCTGAACAGCTTGCTGAATTTGATCTTTGACATCAAACCTGAAATCCATGCGAACTATCGGCTCAACGGATAGGCGAATCTTTTTTGTCCTTCAGGAAGTATTCAGCAATACCGGCTTTAGCTGCACCCCTTTTATAAAGGTGCATCACTTATTCCCAAGAGGTGTAGATTATCTCTTTCTCTTTTTTCTCCTCTTTTTTTCATTCCCCCTTTTATAGCATTTTTGAAGTTTCTATGTAGGCTGGTTCTGTGTTCCCCAAAGTGCATTATATCATAGAAGTGTAGTGTAGAAGGTTGATGTTAGATAAATCGTACTGAGTATTAAAGGATTGCTTTGAACCCGAGAAGTATTTAAAAGTCAGAAAAGATAAGTGCCGTGTTACTTTTCTGTATCCTCCTTTAAATTGCAAACTGTACGAATTAGGTACTCTGATAGAAAAATAAAACCCATTCCTTGTCTTCACTCAGAGTAAAAAAACAAAACAAAAAAGAAATTTTGAATAGTATTTGGATTGTATCTGAAAATGTTGAAATGAGTGTTATTTAAGTAATAACTGTATTCTCCTGTTGAACTTGAACAAGCTGTTGCTAAGGTGCTTGAAGAAAAAGTAAAGATCTGATCTGAGTTGCAAATAAATTAAAACCTTTTTTTTTTTTGGTCCCTTTTCCTCTTGCTCAGAAATATGGATGTTGCTGACTTAAACGGAGGTTTGAGACCTGGATGGATAGATAGATGATAGATAGATAAGATAGATAGATAGATAGATAGATAGATAGATAGATAGATAGATAGATAGATAGATAGATAGATAGATAGATAGATAGATAGATAGATTTTATAAATTTGTCAACCACTCCAGTTGAAATCTTAAGAATAAAGCACACTACAAATAAATATCATGATATCTGTCAAGGTTCCAACTAACAAACCCAACCAAGCAAACTCCTTCAAGACATTCCGATCTCTTAATGTAAAACTTTAGTACATCATTTCAGCAGGTATGAAAGCAAAACCAGCTCTGGCCAAGCCCAGCCCAAACCCCTATAGTAAAAGAATAGAATTCCCCTTCTCATCCCTGAACAGGTCACATTGCCCAATTAGGTGCAATTATATTGTTATGAGAAAATGTCTCTGAGTCGGGCCAGGCGCCTGGTGAACCGTCCTTGATTTTCACCGTCCCATCTTCTTCATCTCTGTAGCCTGCATTCCATTTCCCCATCCTCCCCTCAAGTTCGTTGGCCAACTAGGAAGCCATAATTGTTGCATCAGCAAAGCGAGCTTCAAGCTTGACAATATCTTTAAAAGAAGGAACATACACAGGCACTTTCTTTTAAAATTACCATTATTATGAGCAATGTTTCCCTGCCCTGTTAAATTTTGACCAGTTCATCTTTTATTATTCCAAATAAAAAATGAAAACATCAGTAAAATTCTCAGGCCCATGGTGAATATGTGTATTCGTTCCTTGAATTTTGGAGCTTTCGTGCAAACCTGCGGAAAAACATCCGACAGCTCCCAAACAGATTCTCCCTGAAAAATGAAGGCGAATATACATGTCCCAGGATAATGTTGCAGGATCCAATCTGGGTCAGTCACTGGGACCAGGGGTTTAGTTTTCCGAGCTTTTAGACCAGTGGTTCTCAACCTGTGGGTCGGGACTCCATTTGGGGTCGAACGACCATTTCACGGGGGTCGCCAAACAACGCAGTCCGCCATTTTTTCCCCCCTTTTCCTTAGCTGTGCTACTCCCTTTTATTCTACTGGCTTTTGAAAGCCAATAGAATAGACTCTCTTGAATAGAGTCTAATTCTATTGGCTTTCAAAAGCCCATAGGAATTGTCCAGGCTGTTTCTGCCCTGCTGAGCCCGCCAAAAGCCCCAGTCTGCAAACGGTGCTGCACCGGTTGAGTAGTCCTCGACTTACTACCGGTTGGGGGTCGCGGCATTAAAAAGATTGAGAACCACTGTTTTAGACTCCTGCTGAAGCTCACCCTCAGAGAATCTCCCTCTACCAGAATGTATGTCCCTCTGTCTGTCTATCCATTCATCCATCCTGTCTGTCTGTCTATCATCCATCCATCCATTTTATATCTTTATCTATCTATCTCAGTGGTTCTCAACCTTTTTAATGCCGTGACCCCCAACCGGTCGTAAGTTGAGGACTACTCAACCGGTCGTAAGTCGAGGACTACTCAACTGGCGCAGCACTGTTTGCAGAATGGGACTTTTGGCGGGCTCAGCAGGGCAGAGACAGCCTGGACCATTCCCATTGGCTTTTGAAAGTCAATAGAATTAGACTCTATTCAAGAGAGTCTATTCTATTGGCTTTCAACAGCCAATAGAATAAAAGGGAGTAGCACAGCTAAGGAAAAGGGGAAACAAAATGGCGGACTGCGTTGTTTGGTGACCCCCGTGAAATGGTCGTTCGACCCCAAATGGGGTCCCGACCCACAGGTTGAGAACCACTGATCTATCTCGAATGAAGGTGAATCTACGTGTCCCAGGACAATGTTGCAGGATCCAATCTGGGTCAGTCCCTGAGTTCAGAGGTTTCATCTTCCAAGCTTTTGGACTCTTGTTGGAGTCCATCCTCAGGGAACTTCTTTCTAGCAGAGTGTGAGCTTCTGGGCTGTTCTGTGTGTGATATTTATGTGGGTGGCTTTTTAGTTGTTGATTGCGGTGGTGTTGACAGTTGAGTCCTGCCAAGCCCTGTGCTTCCTAAGTACCTGATAAGCTGTCTTTAAATCAGCACTCCTGCTGACAAGATTCTCCCTTTGCGAGAACACAGAGGCTCACTCATGCTGGCGGGGATGGTGGTAATGAAGGAAGTTGTGCGTTGAGAGAGTGAATGTGCACAAGATAATAAGCAGCTGCTACTTGGACTTCTGAAAGTGAGTCATGAATTTGAAGTTTTGCAACATTCTGGCTGTCAACGATTTATTTATGAATGAATTCAAAGATTAGGCAGGACCTCATAAGCCTTCCAGTGAAAACCAGCTCCATAAATTCTCTCCTTTGGCAAGGATGTGTGATTTTTCTGAAACAGAATGAGTGAAAATAGTATAAATGCTCCACACTTCATACTCTTTGTACTTCTTTTTTTTTATTGAAAAGTTTTACAAAAGTTTACAACAAAACAACCCCAAACCCCCCCACCCACTCCCCCTCCCCCACTTCCCAGAGCTGAATACAGGGTTACAAATATAACAATCATAATCTAAATAACATTAACCAACTATATAAAAACCAAATCCATAATGCACTTTAACTCCCTTTTAACATAAAATAAACAAATTCTAAATAAGCATAATAACAAACAAATTAATATCCTAATTCTTAAACAATACAATATAAAAATTCCACTATAATAAACTATTGATAATAATAATATTAATACTAATAATATTAATAATACTATTACTATTAATAATAATACTCATTCAAACTCTTTGTACTTCTTGATATTAATGGTGGTGCTTTTAAGAAATATATTTAGCTGAATTTTGCTCTTTGCAAAACTAACTAGCTGCTTAAAAACATCCTTGGCCAGCAGCTTACGAAATCTGGCAGTCTTGTGGTTCAGCACAGTGTTTTAAGGAAGACGGGAATAGGATACTTTTTAAGAAAAAAATAAGGGAAAGAAAGATAGCAAGGTGCTTCTTAAATCTTACCCTTTGGACTGAGGCTATCTGAGCTGCCAAATGGAGAAAATACTTTAATGGATTTTAAACTGGGTTCCCCTTGCTCCAACTACTGAGTGGAGAGCAAGATCTGGATTAATAGAACAGCTACATTTCAGACCTGTAGTCTACATTGTTTTCAAATAAATGTTTCTGTCCCTTTATCACTTCCTCTTGCATTTTAATCGCAAGGAAATGCACCTTTTTCTTTCTAATCGAGCAACGTGTGAAGGAAACATAACAAGAACAGCATCATACGAAAAACAAGGAATGCAATTATACTTACAAAGTTGTGTTCACTCGCAGGTATATAAAAATTGCACTCCTGTTTTTTTTCTGTGTGTTGCTGTTTCAATGTACTGTTTCCCATGATTCAAGATGTTTGAGGAAAAATGGGAGGAAAAACATCAGAGCGAAGCCACTTTCTTAGATACAGCCTCTAATCATCAAACTTCTAATCATCAAATGGTCCAAAATCTGACCCGTTTCTACAGTGTTTGTGGATATTGAGTGGACTTCAAGGAAACAATCGGTGCTTATGCTGTTGCTCTTTTCAAACTTCCTTTGCAATTGCCCCTAATTTTAATTTTATTTTTTTTTTCTTGCCACGGGCCAGTTTGCGTCGGTCATTTTAGTACGAAAAGCACATTGTCCTAATGGACTGTGGGTATTCTTAGCTGTGTTCACCACATTCACAACGTGATAATCCAATGTTTTATGGGCTACCCTTGGTGGAGGAGAGAGAGCAAGTGGGAGCTGGACGCCAGACTGACTTCATTTCATTTAAATATCGCTTTAAATGAAGTACAGTTAGGACGCCGCTTCTCTCCGCTACATTAAACATTGCAATAACGGAAGACTCTGAAGGACTTCCTGGGAGAAAGTTTGATGATGATCCTCTGGTTGGACATGGATTGTGCTCAGCATGGATTATTGATTACGTCTTGCTGCGATGTTTACAAGCGGTTTTGGAGAAGACGAAGGGCAGAGCAGCTAGGCTGAACATCCTCATTGCCAGCCTGTAGCCAGATGTGTTGGGAGTCTTGCCTCCAGGTGTGAGAGTCTAAACTTACTTGCAGCCTGTTTTCAATACTTGTGTTGCAGGAATTGCAGGGGGGGGGAGTCAACCAAGCAGGCACAGGACTGCATTCTTTTCCAATTGCCAGAACAGCAAAAAAGACAAAACGTGGCAAAGCGAGAAGGCAAAACATTCAATCTGCAGTTCAGAAGTGCTTTTAATGAATGATGTTGAAGCTGATATGTTCACTTCCTCCTAATATGTCCTCCTCCCTCTGTGCAAGAAGGAGAGTGTGCATTTTCTTAGGGAAAGCATGCTAAGCTACAGCTTTTTGTGCTGCTAAAAAAGGCAGCGGAGATTTGCAAAGGAGTCCCTTCAGATCCACAACTAGGCTTGTAAGTCCTTTTTCTTCTTCATACCCCACTCTTTTAAGTTATTAATTTTGTTCAGTTTCACAGCTGTCTGCTTTTCTAGGATGGATTTCGGGATTCAGTTACAAGCCTTCTTTTTGACGTTGTGAAGTAAATTTAGAAAAAAAAAAAAACCCAACCAGGAGCGTGACTAGGTGTATGGGTTGTTCCACAAGCATAGACCCTGGGAATTTGTAAAATCTGCTGAATAACAATGATTTGAGCCGTCTTTTGACAGCCTGATATGAATATATATTACTCAATCCTTCTCCTTCTTCCTGTGCAGTCTGACTGAGTAATCTTAAAACCTGAGTCATGTGAAGCAAACAGCTTCCTCCTTCCTGATTGTAAGTGATAGGATTCCAGAGTTTTGCAACTGCTGAATTCTAAGGAGGTGTTGAAGCAAAGCAATATGACCAATGCAGTTAACTCCCATTTGATGGATGCTGGTTGCATTTTTTTCTTTAAAAAAATCCCCATATTATTCTGGGAATCCATATTGTGTCCACGTTTGTTGACATGTCAACCTGGAGCCTTGGTGACCACTGGAAAGAGGTCTTTTACCTTGGTCATTCCCGGTGACACTACCTGCAGGGGTGGAACCGTGGACGAGAACAATCTCTATTCTGTCTTTTTGAAGTTTGGGGACGTGCTCATGGATTGCTCCCGAGACGCAAAAGCAGCCGCAGCCAATCCAGGAAAGCCAATGCTTTCTAGGTTTTTCATCTTTTAATTCTAACAACTAAGCCTTTTGTGCACATATGTTTCAATAGAAAAAGCGAATACAAGTTGGCAGAGCTGGGGAGAACTTCTAGAACCCAACTTCTCAAAGCAGAAGACAAAAAAAACAAAACAACCCCACAGTTCTATGGGAAAAAAATCTGAATTTTTCAGAGCTGGTTTGTAGGACCTGTTTTGTGCAACTCATAGGTGTGTGGCCCCACCCAGTTGATTAGTGAGAAGGTAGCTATTGCTTCAGAGAATGATTCAATAGCGTCAAGAGTGAAAGAAAGAACTGGAGCATGCTAGAAGAAGTCAGGGATGAAGCTTGCTGGACTTCAGAGGGTCATCTGCTGACTTTTGATCTTTACCTGCAATAGTCTTATCTTCTCTTGGACCCTACATGGAGGAAATGAGCTGATGAAGTATTTTGTTTTGCTTGCCCAGAAAACAGCGAGGATCTTCAAGGAGAAAAGACCAGACATTGATAGCTGAAGTTCTTGTTGGGTGATTTGCACAGTTGAACACCGATTCAACATGGTTTGTGGTGGAAACCAAACCAAAGATGGTGAAGAAGGAGGAGGAGGAGGAGAAGGACCATTTAGCATCACTTATTGCTGGAGTAAAGGAAAGGAGCACGCTGATTTCAGGAGAAATGGTAAAATCAGAGATTTGACAACGTTGGTCAGCAGTAGCGGAAAACGTGGTGGTAGCCCTAATAATTTTGACCTGTTTGGGGTTTTTCTTTGACTTATTTAATTTTATCTTCTCTATGAATGGATAGCAGCTTTTATGTACAGAAACTTGTAATGCCTTTGATGAAAATCATCCTTTTGTGCGCTTCGGTTGTACTCATCTTAAACGTATGTTAGCAAATGCATCTTTGATCTGCTCATCCTTTCCCCCAATGCAGTTGGAAATATTCTTCGCAAACATTTCCTGGAGATTTACGGATGTGCGCAACGCACACTTTCTTCTGTGCACCGTTAGTAATATTTCCCAAAATGCATAACTTAATGAACCACGCGAAGCTGAATACGTGGCTGTTCTGTCTTCCAAATTTTATCCATTAAGTCTTTTTTTTTTTTTTTTTACAAATGTGTCGTGCTGAAAATGCATCTGGAAATCTTAAAAATGTTAATGGAAATTGACGGTCACTTGAGACACAGAAGTAGGTAATTTAGAATGCCAGTGCTGTGGAGACGTTTCAAATTAAGCTTCTATTTGGCACACGGAAAACAGTTGCGTTGGCCGGGTTGCCCATCGCACTAAGCCCCAGCTTACTCGATAACCTATTGCACCAAGCCCAAATGTGATGTGCTTGGGTTTTGGCCTTAGGGTGTTGTGTGAACCCAGGTGTCATGCTTTGCAAACCATCTCCCAAAGGTGCTTTTTTCAAGAGGTAACTGGACTTTCTTTGTTTTTCCTTGAAGATGTTTCACTTCTTATCCAAGAAGCTTCTTCAGTTCTGACTGAATCGTGGGGAGTGGAAGGATTCAGTCAGAACTGAAGTCAGAACTGTAGAAGCTTCTTGGATGAGAAGTGAAACATCTTCAAGAAAAAACCAAGAAAGTTCTGTTGCCTCTTTGAGTCAACCGTGGATGACTCAGACTGATTGAGTGGATTTTCTGTCACCACTGATGGATTTGGGACATTCTGGTGGGACAAGAAACAATGGGTCTTTATTCAAGAATTTGTAGCATAACATCCACATCCCCTGATCTCCTCAGACTTTTTGAGAAAGCAGCATAGCATGATTTTGAAGACTCTTTAGGCGTGTCAATGGAGATTCTCAGTCATCCAAGTCATGGTTGTCTCAAAGGTGCTTTTTCAAAAGGCAACTGGACTGTTTTTTCCTTGAGGAAGAAGGAGGAGGAGGAGGAGGAGGAAGAAGAAGAAGAAGAAAAAAAAGATGAGTCACTTCTTATCAATTCAGAACTGAAGAAGCTTCTTGGATGAGAAGAGAAATGTTTTCAAGAAAAAAGTCCAGTTGCCTTTTGGAAAAAAACATCACCACCATGACCTGGACAACTGAGAATCTCCACAGACATTTGTAAACTGTGATTGATGACATACTGTGAATTGTGCAGTTGACTAACTGTGGTTTAATGTGCCAACGTTGAACAATTAATTTTCCCAACTATTGCGTTGCAGACTTTCTAAATGGACAGGTGCTTGTGGTGCTGACAGCTCACAAGCCCCGTGGTTATGCCCCTTTCGTCATGAATTCTTGGGAAGACCAGCTGAAAACTTTGGGAATAGAGGTGAGGCTTCTGGTCTTGTTGAGACCTGCAATTCAAAATCAGTGCTTTTAATAGATTCCCATTAGACGCAACACCACATTTTTATCCCCTGCGTGCATGTACATACGTGTTTTTGTGCAATATGAGAAAATATGTATCTAAATAGCACACTTAGGTATAAAGAAGGTAAAACCTACTTCAAGTTAAGCTGGAACTGCTAAGGATCCCACACAGTTTCTACAATGAAAGTGTAGATTTTTTTGAGTCTTTTCCCAGCTCAAGTGATCATCCTATAATTTGTTGTTCAAGTACTAACCAGTTTTAAGCCTGCTTAGCTTTTTTTCAATCAGGCAAGTTTGCTGCCACCTAGCTCAGCTCATTTTTTTTTAACAGACTATAATTCTATAGAATTCTCTCACGGAATTAAATCTAGTTTAAATTGGAGTCATTGGATTAGGTCAAAAAAAAAGGATCTTGATGGCCACCTCTCTGAATGTAGGTGAGGCATGAGGAATTAGGACCACCCTTGAAATTCCAGTTAAGCTGATTTATTGCTCATGCCTGTAGACAAGAATATACTCAACTAATGGTCAGCATTAGATTGGCACAAGATAAAAAAAGTCAACAGAGTTCAAGAAGAGTTGGACTTAGACCATTTATGACAACGTAACGACTCCAGGCTGATTCCTCTCTTGACCCCTACCCCAGGTTCTGCCTCTTCTTCTCCTACAGCAGGGGTGGGGATCTGTGGCCCTTTTATGATTTGTGGATTTCAACTCCCAGAATTCCTGGCCAGCCAGCCATTCTGGGAGTTGAAGTTGAACTCCACAAGTCATAAAGGGGTTGTAGTTCCTCACCCCTTTCTTACCGTGACAGATTCACAGATGGATATGTTTAAATGACTCCAGGGAAGGGAAGCACACCTGAGACTTTTTGTTCTGCTATTAATCAGCTCTTATTCCAAGTACATTTCCCCTTGTAGTCCAAATCTGCTTCTCTGGTTCCAGACATGTGCCTGATGTTATGGTTATCCAAACAGGTGACAGAAGACCAGTGGGAAACTTTGATTCAACAAGCTGTGCTGGAGCCAAAAATGAGAACGTATCTATTGTACAACTCCAGAGGGTTGAGGATGGCCATTGCTGCTGTAAGAACCCCATAGGTCATGTGGGCTAAATCTATTGAATATCTCTCTCTCTCTCTCTCTCTCTCTCTCATTTCTATCTATCTATCTATCTATCTATCTATCTATCTATCTATCTATCTATCTATCTATCTATCTATCTCTCATTATCTATCTCTATCTATTTATCTCTATTCTCTATTCTCTATCTAATTATCTATCTAGCCATCTAGCTTATCTATTTATCTAATCTCTATTTATCTATGATCTATCTGTCTATTCTCTATCTATCTATCTATCTAATCTCTATCTATCTATCTATCTATCTATCTATCTATCTATCTATCTATCTATCTCTCATCTATTCTCTATTCTCTATCTAATTATCTATCTAGCCATCTAGCTTATCTATTTATCTAATCTCTATTTATCTATTATCTATCGGTCTATTATCTATCTATCTATCTATCTATCTATCTATCTATCTATCTATCTATCTTTATGGAACGTGTGCCATTCACCTCGCCAAAAGTGACTTTAGGTGGCTTACAGACATTGAGTAAAATGCAGTATAAAAGATTCTTTTAACCTTTTTAAGAATAAATATTGCTCTTAATCGCTCTTAATGTCCGCAGTAGCCATTTTGGCCTCCATTTCTGAGCGTGAAGATGGGCAGTACCTTAATTTGATAAATTAATAAGCAAATAACTATTGTTGTCATCGGCTGCACAGTCAGCCAAAATATTTAGACCAGATTTGGCATTTTGCATCCCCTCTGCTGCTGACGTAATTCTCTCTCTTTTCAGATTGTCTACGTGACTCTCTGGATCAACCTTTATTCTGTCCTGCAAATTTTTTCAGTCGGACAGTCTTGGAAAGTCATTGTTTTGGTTACTCTCGTTGCCTTGGTGACCACTGTGGCCATCCAAGTCGTAATTCATCACTATCAGGGAAAGGTAAGACAGGACTGGATTGTCACCAGTCACCATTTCGTGTGAATGTGGTTTTTTTCCCCCTTCTCTTTCTTTAACTATCCCGGGTGCCTCTTCTGCTATTCTGGATGGCTCCCCTCTGTTGGAGGGATTAGACAAGCAGCAGCTGAAAAGGATCAACTTTCATCCAGTGACTAAGAGGTTTGGCAAGGGTCCCGTGTGTGAAATGCATGAGGAGAGACTTCCTTTTGTCTTGGAAGGTGATATTAGCATTTTGTTGTGATTCCCCATTGATCATGCATCAGTCATGCATGAATCATGTTTTGCTTTGGGCTTTTAATTTCTTCTGCCCATCTTGTGACTGTCACTCTCTTTAGCTCCTCAGCTGGAACAACTTGTAAAGGCATGGAAAAATAATTTCCCTGGGGTTGAAATTGCTATTTCTTGTACTGTGGGGTCCTTGGTGTCCTCTGACCTTGGAGGTTTTCTTGCAGACGTTTCTTTGCAGAGCTAGGTAACTTCGTCGGTGTTCAGTGGATTGTAGCAACAGTGATGTTCCCTCGTTGTGTAATCAACTGTCTTCAAGAAAAGAACCAAGCTCAGAGAGCCTAAGGATCCTACATTAATTCTCCTCCTCCTCCTCCTCCTCCTCCTCCTCCTCCTCCTCTTTCCCTTCTAGCACTGATGATGCTACCTAGTTGGGTCATGAAACGTGTGCAAGAAAACAACCCAGCTCAGAGAGCACCAAGGACCCCACAGCAGCTTTCCTCCTCCTCCTTGAAAACCCCATTTTCTTCCAGCATTGATGACGTTACCTAGTTGGGTCATGAAACATCTGCAAGAAATCAACCAAGCTCAAAGATTGGTTTTGTTCTTTTGTTAGGATGTTTGTTTCTTGCTCGCTTGTTTACGGCTCCCACAAATGCGGGTCAAAAGCAGTGACATTTATCCAAACTGCTAAGACAGGATTCGCCCCTCTGGAGAGGTCACAAAACGCATTTGACTTCCGAATCCTGGTTTTTATGGGAGCCCGGATCCTCCTTCCAAAATTTCGGCAGGCTTTCTTTCTTGCCTACAAATGTACTCTCGGTTCAGCCGGGCTGTCATTGAAACCGGTTTCAGATGAAAGGTAATTAAAACGTGAGGTCGTCGGACGGCTCCCCGTGCTTTTGACAGTTTTCCCTTCTGCCTAATGAAACATGAAATAGCTACTTTTGCAGGTAGAAACTGAATGGCCATCTGGTCAGCAGGTTGCAGCCCTGTTCATTCCCCAAGATGGATGTCCTTCAAGCGCCTTCCATCTCTTAAAATCCTGATTTTTTTTGTAGCCACAGTTCAATTCTTCTTGACTTCTTCTTTTTCCTTCCCTTTCCCCAGATGAATGTGAATACAGATATGAGGCTAATGGCTGCCAATGAAGCCTTCATGAAATTTGGTTTCCTGGTAGGGATGACAAATATTTCAGACAAGAATTGTGCTGTCCCACAGGTATGTTTTTCTGAAGGGGGAAGAGTAGAGTAGAGTAGAGTAGAGTAGAGTAGAAATCAACCAAGCTCAAAGATTGGTTTTGTTCTTAGAGTAGAATAGAATAGAATAGAATAGAATAGAATAGAATAGAATAGAATAGAATAGAATAGAATGGAATAGAGAATGGAATAGAAATAGACTGGAATGGAAGGGAAGGAGAGAAGAGGAGAAGAGAAGAGAAGAGAAGAGAAGATGGAATGGAACAGAATATAGAATAGAATAGAATAGAATAGAATAGAATAGAATAGAATAGAATAGAATAGAATAGAATAATTATTGTCACTTTAAATGTACACTAATCAGCATACATTAAAATGAGATTAACAGAATAATAGAATAGCAGAGTTGGAAGGGACCTTGGAGGTCTTCTAGTCCACCCCCCTACTCAAGGAGGAAACTATACCATTTCAGGCAAATGACTGCCCAGTCTCTTCTTAAAAACGCCCAGTGTTGAAGCACCCACAACTTCTGGAGACAAGTCATTTCTCTACATCTGTCCCATGAAACATTATAATTTCACCACAAGCATTCCAGCTTCTGAAGATAAGACATCAGGCTTTGGAGAGTTGTATGCAGATGTGAAGTTCTGGCTCTGTGACATTCTGTACACAAATGGTATAGCATTTCATCTGTTAAATGCAAGTAGAAAAGTTCCAATCATGGCAGATGTAGCAAATTTTCCCCGGGTGCTTTCTTGTTTATCTCCCTCCTTTCTCCTCTCCTTCAGTTGTGGTTTATTCATTTTGATGTTGGACCCTGCCTTCAGTCTTTGACGGACTCTCTGCTCACGCTGAAGAAAAGTCAGGAGGTAAGTTATTCAACGGCTCCTTCCCTTCAAGCCTCCAAAGTGTAGAGTCGGAAAAAAGAGGACCCTTGAAATGCATCACTGCCCAGTTAATTGTGTTGTGCACTACTCATGGTCACTGATTTGTAAGCTGGGTGCTATATAAATTGGTCAGATACATCAATAACAGTGGGATGCCTGGCTGAAGAGCCGTGGTGGCGCAGTGGTTAGAATGCAGTATTGCAGGCTGACTCTGCCCATTGTCAGGAGTTCGATCCTGATCAGCTCCAGGTTAACTCTGCCTTCCATCCTTCCGAGGTTGATAAAAGGAAGACTCAGATTGTTGGGGGGCAATATGCTGACTCTGTAAACCACTTAGAGAAGGCTGTGAAGCGGTATATAAGCCCAAGTGCTATTGCTATTGGTATAACTGATCGGATGTTGCATTAGGAGCTATGGCGGCGCAGTGGTTAGAATGCAGTATTGCAGGTTGCCCACTGCCAGGAGTTCGATCCTGACCGGCTCAAGATTGACTTGGCCTTCCATCCTTCCGAGGTTGGTAAAAGGAGAACCCAGATTGTTGGGGGGCAAGATGCTGACTCTGTAAACCACTTAGAGAAGGCTGTGAAGCATTGTGGAGCAATATATAAGTCTAAGTGCTCTTGCCACCGATGAAAAACCTAACATTCTCCTTCCTATAACATGTATCCTGAGACTTCCAGAAAGTTCAAAACATGAAAAGAAGAACATTTGAAGTCCTCTTCTCGTGCTTCAGTCCCAACACCACACTGTCTCTGATCCCGAAGTCTCCATATCTTTGTCACACCTTTGAGACTGACTAGGTAGACTAAATGTGGTGCAGTGGTCAAAGGCACCCAGCTAGAAAATGTTGAGTTCTAATCCATTCCTAGTCACAAAACCTTCTAGGTGACCTTGGGCAAGTTCCTTCTTCTCAATCCTAGGAAGAGGTTCATAGCAAAACACTTCTGACGAACCTGCTAAGAAAAGTGCAGGGATTCGTCCCAGGCTGTGACCAGGAGTCAGCCCTGACTCAAAGCTACAACCACACCCACCCATCCACCCACCCACCCAAGAGAAAGGAAATCTAGAAAGAGACACTCAAGGATTCTGTTGAGCCAAGGCTTTGGGCTTGCTACCTCTCATATTGCCTTCTCTGGGTCATTGTCATTTTTACCAGTCTGCTCTGAAGCGCAACCTGGAACATGTCAGCATCATAGTGGAGACAACTCTCTCGCCGAGTTGGGAAGACCAACCCAACGACTCTTTGGAAGTCACTTCGCTGTTGCCAGAGACAAAGGCGGGCAATCAGAACTCGGTGGCGCACCGAGAATTCCTCCATCTTGTCTCAGACAGAGCTCCAGAGGTAAGGATGTCTTTCTTTTTTTTTTCCTCCCTTCCCTTCATCCTTTGCTTGGAAGACCAGCAAAATGGTTGGACGAGAAGCAGCCTTCTACAGTAGCGTAAAATTTCCTTCTCATCCCTAGGGGTGATCTGTGTCTTCCTCAGTCTTGGATCCTCTAGGAGGAGGAGGAGGAGGAGGAGGAGGAGGAGGAGGAGGAGGAGGAGGACTGTGGGGTCCTTGGTGCTCTCTGAGCCTGGCTGTTTCCTTGCAGACATTTCATGACCCAACTAGATAACATCATCGGTGCTAGAAGGGAGTGGAGGAGGACTGTGAGGTCCTTGGTGGTCTCTGAGCTGGATTGTGTCTTGCAGATGTTTTATTACCAAACTAGGTAACATCAGTGCTAGAAGGGAATGGGGTTTGCGGCGAGGAGGAGGAGGAGGAGGAAGACTGTGGGATCCTTGGTGGTCTCTGAGCTGAGTTGTTTTCTTGCAGACGTTTCATTAACAAACTAGGCAACATCATCAGTGCTAGGTTAGAAAAAGAAGTCTCTGAACCAAGTGCCATCAGCCATGGTTTGAACCAGATGGCACCCCACTTTGCATCTTAAGAAGACAGAACTCTTGGAATAGTTCTTCCAACAGGCACCCTTTATTCAGAGAAAATGGTTACAGGACTTGGGGTCCAAGCTCTCCCATTCAAGGTTTTAAGGGGTTCCCCAGTAGCCCCACCCAATCACCCCCTTCTTCCAGCGACAATCTCAGGCATTACACTCCCACCCCCTTTTCCTTACTGCCAGCTGGATGGAGACTTCAGAGAAAACTACATGAAGGTAATAGCCCCATTGTTATGGTTAGTCCTTTTGGTGATATCCACATCCAGTCCCTTTGAAGTGTACTGAAGGAAGTGAGGGCCATAAAGCCCCTTTGCTCACCCCCTTCCCTTCATCATATGACAGAATCCAGAGAAGGCAGAAATGGGGTTTTCTATAGTTGATAACTAGAGATGAAATATAATTGGATTCTGACACTATTACTTCATCTCCCAGATCTCTAAGCTTCTTGCAATCTCCTCACAAGAAGTGATTGTCTGGAGCAGTTGTGGGCAATCCCAAATCCTTTACTTGTTTGGAGAGGAATTACAATATAAAAAAGATGTTGAGATTCTTGGAAAGAGTGCAGAAAAGAGCAACAAAGAGGACTAGGGGACTGGAGGCGGTTGCAGGAATTGGATATGACTAGTTTAATGAAGAGAAGGATTAGGGGTGAGGTCGAATTGTTGAACTAATGGCAGTTCTTCAGCTGGAGGCCTTCAACTCTGGAAGTTCTCTGAGCTGTTGGTAGTAGGAGAAAACTTGGGGAGAGTGTGTTGTTTACTTTTTTCTATAATTCCAGGATTATAACTCTAACAAAGGATTTGATGTAAGCACTTAACTTGGATTTGGGGCTGTGCCGAAGAATGGATGTTTCTTTAATTTGTGGGTGTTGGCTTGAGCATCCAGGGTTTTCTGCTGGACCAGAGTAGATTTCTGCTGGACCGGAATACATTAATGATGTTGACTTCTTCTTGCCTTGTTTTAGACAATGGCCCAGCAGCTCTTGACGGTCTTCAGCAGCTATTACACCAGGCTCTTTGTCAGTGGCCAGCTTCCAGAAGTCCATATGGGGCAGCACAAAACTCTTGGCCACAAGCCTTGTCTCTGCCAGTTTGTAAAGACTACAATGCTGGGAAAAGAATTCTGTGGATTCCAACAGAGGTGTTAGCCACCAAGGGTCTCAATCATCAAAGAGTGAAGAATCAGAAGTCTGAGGGAACGAAGGACGCTCAGGACTCCCTCTTTTACGTAGCTGCCACCATCCCTGGCTCATAGTTCTGCATACAAAAGAACTATGTCTAAAAAATATTCTTGGGAATGTTGGCACCTTCTTCTAAGGAGAGATTATATTATAGCTGGGTCAGGATCTGTCTCTGACTGATAAGGGTTTTGTCACGCGATATACTGTTTTGCTGGTCTCTGGATTGGACCTTCATGCATTGGTGGCTGCCCAAAGTTGTGAGGATGAGGTGGCAGCCATATCAATGAAAGAAAGAAAAAGAGAGAGAGAGAGAGAGAGAGAGAGAGAGAGAGAGAGAGAGAGAGAGAGGAGGACAAAACAGAAGGAAAGAGAAAGAAGGAAGAAAGAAAGAAAGAGAAAGAAAGAAAGAAAGAAAGAAAGAAAGAAAGAGAAAGAAGGACAGTAGAAGGAAAGAGAAGGAAGGAAGGAGAGAGAGAGAAAGAAAGGACAAAGTAGAATGAAAGAAGGAAGAAAGAAAGAAAAAGAAAGAAAGAAAGAAAGAAAGACAAAATAGAAGGAAAGAGAAGGAAGGAAGGAAGAAAGAAAGACAAGGTAGAAGGAAAGAAGGAAGGAGGGAATGAGAAGAAGGAAGGAAAGAAAAGAGAAAGAAAGAGTAAAAGGAAGGACGGAATGAGTAGAAGGAAGGAAGGAAGGAAGGAAAGAAAAAAAAGAAAGAAAGAAAGAAAGAAAGAAAGAAAGAAAGAAGGAGGGAGGGATTCTCCTGGAAATGAAACATCTTTTCTAGCTGGATTCTGGAAACTCAAGCCACAATGTTATGAACTGAACTCCAGAGATGTTTAGATCTTCGGCGCCTGCTCCAAAGCAGAAATCTCTGAGATCAACTTATCTAGGAGATACGTGGAGTGATTCATAAAACCAATGAATCATAGTCTGGGAAAGGGTGTACTCCTAGACCACATTCCCATTGGCCCACTCGAAATGTGCTAAGTCATGCTGTCTCATTGTGTCCCGGAGTCACCTGCAAGTTCTGGGGGATTTACCTTAGATAACGTTCCTTTCTATATAAGGCAATTTCCCAATTCTCCCCCCACCCCCCCTTTAACCACTTGTAATAGAAGGAATGGCAGAGCCAACCGGAGGGGTAAAACAAGGTACTACTAGTCGTCCCCAACTTACAAGCATTCATTTAGTGACCCTTCAAAATTACGACGGCACTGACTGCAGCAGCATCTCTGCGGTCACATGGTCAAAGTTCTGATACTTGGCAACTGGCTTGTATTTATGACTGTTGTACTGCTCCGGGGTCATGTGATCACCGTGGGTAACTTCCGAGCCGGCTTCTGACGAGCAATGTCAGTGAGGGATACCAGATTCATTTATTGACCATGTGATTCACTTAAGAACTGCAGTGATTGACTTAACGACAGTGGCAAGAAAGGTCATAAAATGGGACAAAGCACACTTAACAACTCACTTAGCTTTCTAGTCAAGGACAAGAAAGAAAGAAAAAGAAAGAAAGAAAGAAAGAAAGAGGAAGGAAAGAAGGAAAAGAAAAGAAAGAAAAAAGAAAGGAAGGAGAGGAATGAGAAGGAAAGAAGGAAGGGATATGGAGGAAGGAAGGAGATGAATGAGAGAAGGAAGGAAGGAAGACAGGAATGAGAAGGAAGAAAGGAAGGGATGAAGAAAAGGAGGCAGGAATGAGGGAAAGAAGGAAGGAATGAGAGAAGGAAGAAAGGAAGGGATATGAAGGAAAGAAGGAGACAGGAATGAGGGAAGGAATGGAAGGAAAGAGGAAGGGAGGAAGGAATGGTGGAAGGAAGGAGGAAGGGGAAAGAACAGATGAAAAGGAGGAAGGGAGGAAGGAAGGAAGACAGGAATGGTGGAAGGAAGGGGAAAGAGAATAGATGAGAAAAAGGGAGGAAGGAAGGAAGGACACATCCGGGCTGCTTAGTGTCTTTACTGCAAGAGACTGACCCAGCTAATCATCTCAGCCCCAAATATGCTCCAGGTTGCAGATGGAATTTCATTTCCGGCAACTTGGGTGTGGTCTGTCCAAGAGGGGCAAACCATGTTATAAATCCTTTGCCTCCCACACTCCCTCTTTCATGTAGCTGCCACCGTCTCTTGCTGAAGAAAGACAAACCGAGTCAAGCAACTACATTTAGTCAACAAATTATATTTCCTTTTTGATATAATTTCAAACTCTTGGTCATTTCAAAGGTTGACTCTACTGGTCTCCCAGACACAGGATAAATCAAACACGTTCACCTCCGCTCCGAGGGGAGTTTATAAACCTGTTTTCATGAGTTGTCTGGATATGGCCAGGTAGATGGATGAAAGAATTTTGCATCTTGCCAAATTGGTAGAGGAGGACCAGCCACCGTTCCAGAGGATCCGCGAACGTGGTCCTTTATCTGCCTCATGTCCCCTTAGGTTGCTCCATGATGGAACTGACACATTTGGGGGGTGTCTCCGCCATCCGAGATTTTTGTCATCCGCCTGCAGGGAAACCTGCACAGGTCAAGAAAGGAAATTAACATTTTAGGAAGGATAATAGTCTATTTGGAATACAGAGAGTTGGAAAATCTAGAACTAAGGAAAAAATTTCCTGCCAGTGAGAACAATTAACCATTGGAACGGCTTGCTTCCAAAAATTGTGAATGCTCCATCACTGGAAGTTTTTAAGAAGAGACTGGACAGCCATTTGCCTGAAATGGTCTAGGTCTTTGTGAGCTGAGGTGTGAGTGGGACAGGAAGGAGGTAGAGAGGAATGAGATGGGAAGAGAAAGGGAGAGAGGGAGGGAGGAATGGGAAGAGAAAAGGAGGAAGGAGAGAGGGAGGAATGAGATAGGAAGAGAAAGGGAGAGGGAGGGAGGAATGGGAAGAGAAAGGGAGGGAGGAAGGGAGGGAAGGAGGAATGAGATGGGAAGAGAAGGAGGGAGGAATGAGATAGGAAGAGAAAGGGAGGGAGGGAGGAATGGGAAGAGAAAGGGAGGGAGGAGGGAGGGAAGGAGGAATGAGATGGGAAGAAAAGGAGGGAGGAATGAGATAGGAAGAGGGAAGGAGGGAGAGGGAGGGATGGAGGAGGGAGGGGGGAGGGAGGAAGAAATGGAGAGGGAGGGAGGAAGAGAGGGAGAGATGGAAGAAGGAGGGAGGGATGGAGGAATGAGTTGGAAAGAAGAAGGGAGGAGGGAGGAATGAAGGAAGTTTTTGTTTTTTATGAAACTGGAGGACCCATTTGACTCAGCACTGATTATATATCCTTTTATTCTCTCCCCTAGTAGAGATTGGGCACTTTGCCTTACCTCTTTCTTGAGTTAAAGATTCTGATTTTGCCGTGTCATCGTTACAGCAGAAGCAGCAGCATATTCTGATTTTTGCCACCACATATCTGCAGGCTATAGAAGCCAGAGAGAGAGAGAGACAGAGAGAGAGAGAAGTAAGGAGGAATACATAGCAATGCCCACATTCATCTAACCCGAACAAACCCAGATGTCAACATTTTGTCAGGTCTACCATTTCCGGAACATTCAGCCAGCAGACCTGCTAGCAGTAGAATGATGAAATCTGTAAACTCTACAGCTAAAATACCGCCGGATAGGTGCTGAGGGAGCAGAGAGCTCACTAACGGATCATTTCTCCACGTTGAAAGAAATGGAAATATTTTTGGGGATCGCAAACACAAGGCCCTCGACTTACAGAGTCCAACCTGTCTGTGGCTGAGCTTTGCCCCATTTCACAACCTTTCGTGACACCGTTGTTCGATGAAACGCTGCAGTTGTGAGGAACACGGTTGTCAAGTGAGTCTGCCTGGACTTTGCTTGTTGGGAGGCCCCAAAAGGGGATCATCACGTGAACCCAGGACACTATGACCGTCATAAATCTGACGCAGTGGCCAAGGGTCTGAATTTTGATCGCATGATCCTGGGGAGGCCTCTACGGTCGTAAGGGTGAAAAAACGGTCCTAAAAGTCATTTTTTTAAAGTGTCGTTGTAACATCGAAGGGCCAGTAAACAAATCGTTGTAAGTTGAGGGCATGCTTTGATCTAATCTGGGAACTCTTCTATTTGCCGAACTCGAGAAAAAAAAAAGTAACTCTAGAGAATAATCTTGCTAATTACGAGCAGGAAACCTTTGAACCCTTGTAATATCTTGGCTAGAGTGTTTAAAGTCGGTGACGATCTTCAAAGGATTTCCTGGTCACCAGCTACCTGAGAGAGGGCTGGGTTAAAGATTTAAAACCAGCTTTGAATTTGGATGCTGAGGGATCCTCGGTGCTCTCTGAGCTTGGTCGTTTTCCTGCAGATGTTTCATTACCAATGTAGGTAACATCCCCCCCCCTCCAACTGATGATGTTACCTATTTTGGTAATGAAATGTCTGGAAAAAAAGACAGAGAGAGAGAGAGCACTAAGGACCCCTCGTTTCAACCCTGAGAAATATTCCTCTCTATAATTTTGTCCCAGGAGGCAACCGGACTTCCTTTTTTCTTTTTGAAGAGGTCTTGCTTCTCCTCCAAGAAGCTTCTTCAGCTCTGACACTGGATGGTGGGGAATGGAAGGATGTATACTCCTCCCAGTCAGAGCTGGTCATTTGCCTTCTTTTAGAGAATCGTTGAGATCACCTGGAGGTTTATCCGTGACACATTAGGACACAGATAAACTTCCAAGTGGCCTTAAGGACTCTCCAAAAGAAGGCAAACAACCAGCTGTCTGCAAGGAGTATAAATCCTTCTGTTCCCCACCATCCACTCAGAACTGAAGAAGCTTCTTGGAGGAGAAGTGAAACCTCTTCAAAGAAAAACAGGAAAGTCCAGTTGCCTCCTGAAAAAGCACCTTTGGGACAACCATGACCGGGAAAACTGAGAATCTCCACAGACCTCTATAATTCTGGATACTGTTGATATGATAACTCTGCTTGGAATCACCGCTCATCCATGCCATAATGGAAGTAGATTCCTGAGTTCCTAGAACTTCCAATGGCAGTGCAACTCATGATACTACACAGGAGAAGCTCCACAGCAAGGCCAATTGCTGGTCTAAATACTTCTATGTGTATGAGAGAGGTGAGTAGGGATGGGGTGGGGTGGAGGGACAGCATAATCCTACTGTAGACTTGGACTGGACTGCAGACTGTAGACTGGACTGCAAGGCGATCAAACTGGTCAGTCCTAGAAGAGATCAACCCCAACTGCTCTTTAGAAGGCCAGATCCTGAAGCTGAAACTCAAATACTTTGGCCACCTAAGGAGAAGGAAGGACTCACTGGAGAAGAGCCTGATGCTGGGAAAGATGGAGGGCAAGAGAAGAAGGGGATGACAGAGAATGAGTGGCTGGATGGAGTCACTGAAGCAGGAGGCGTGAGCTTCAATAGACTCCAGAAGATGGTAGAGGAAAGGAAGGCCTGGAGGAACATTGTCCATGGGGTCGCGATGGGTCGGCAACTAACAACAACAAGACTTGGAGCAGCCCACCAAATCTCACCTCCTGCTCTGCGGAGGAAACTAAGTTAAATCACCCCTATCCAATCCTGGCCAGCAAAAGGATTTAATCCCCACCCTCAGTTTTAGGAGAACCCTCCTTGAGGCTGAAATTTGACTTAAGGCAAGCTGATCTTGACTTACCACTGGTGATAACTCAGGCCATAATTCAGGTCTTAGGGTGGAAGAAGGCTCCTCTCAATCTTTTCTCCTTCGCTGTCTGTCCCCTTCTTCTTTCCTCTCCGCCGCCTTTATGACAAGGATTGACTTCAGTTAACTTCCTCTTGCAAAGAAAATCTGTGCAACCTTTCCTCTGGGGTGTTGGCCAGAAACTCGGTCACGTGGATGTCACAGTGGCAACCAGGCAGGGTGTTTTGTGACTCAAGCAGTGGTGGTGGTTGCTTGCAAGGAGAGGGAATGGATAAGGTTTCTCTGAGCCTCACAAATGGGCTCGGAGATTCAGTGCCGCGAAAGCCGTTAAACACAGGTGTCTGTTTTGCTCTGCATCTCTCAGGGGGCTCAATGTTCCTGCCACAATTTTCAATAACAACGCGCCAAGACCTTTTTGTTTGCTCGGCAGCTGGAGGTTCCCTTCCTATCCTCCTTCTCAATTTTGGAGCCAGGTTGAATTCTGGGTGTGTCTAGGTGGGAGGCAGAAGGTTTTAGAATTTTGCTTGGGACAATTCAAAGACGGTTGAATCAACCATTGGAAGCCGTCTGCCACTCTTCCAAGGGGCTGTCTCAGAGAAGAAGGGGTTGACCTATTCTCCAAATCACCAGAGGGCAGGACAAGAAGTGATGTGTGGAAGTTCATCAGGGGGAGATCCAACCTGGAATGAAGGAGAAACTTCCTGACCAGGAGAACATTAATCGATAGAATGGCTTGCCTCCCAAAGTTGTGGGTGCTCCATCACTGGAGGTTTTCAAGAAGAGAATGGATAGCCATTTGTTCAGGGTGGTATAAAGCCTCTTGCCTTGGGCAGGGGTTTAGACTAGACTGAAAGACCTCCAAGGTTCCTTCTAACCCTATGGTTCTATGTTCTATGGTTTTTGGTTCTATTGTTCTATGTTCTATGGTTTTTGATTCTATGGTTATATGATTATATGATTCTATGGTTTTTGGTTCTATGGTTCTATGTTCTATGGTTTTTGGTTCTATGGTTCTATGTTCTATGGTTTTTGGTTCTATGCTTCTATGTTCTATTGTTCTATGTTCTATGGTTTTTGATTCTATGGTTATATGATTATATGATTCTATGGTTCTATGTTCCATGGTTTTGATTCTATGGTTCTATGTTCTATGGTTTTTGGTTCTATGGTTCTATTCTCCATAGTTCCCATGAATAGGACAAGAACCAATATAGCATAATTTATACCATATAGTATATATAGTATAGTAGAAGGTAATATGGAGGGAGATGCAAACTCAGAATAAGGAAGATTCTCCTGACTGTGACAGCTAAGAAACCATGGTCCAACCTATCTCCTGGAGTTGTGGGGTCTCCATTCCTGGAGGGTTTCAAGCAAAGGTTGGGCAGATGTTTGTCTGGGATGATCTGAGGATTCGGGGTTGGACTAGGAGACCTTTAAGGTCTCCAACCCTATGATTCTACTCTGTTATTTGGTTATTCAGTTATTCTTTTGCCTAACTTCTAGACCAGGCTTAGAAATACTTTTGGGTTCCTAGCTTATTAAGAATCTTCAAATCTCTCTTTTTCTTGGCTGGCTTAGATCTGAAATAAAGTATCTAATGAATTCCAGATTTGCTGCGGGGGTGCTCTTCCTAGACAGGAATTAGTCAAGTCTACTGACATTTTTGGAGGAAAGCCGTGGGGGATTTAAAAATGTAGATAATCTTTTCTTCCTGTGTACATTTCTTTGCATATCGTTTTTGGTTTCCTTTTCTTTGATCTCTGCTTTGTTTGTGGCCAATTTTTATTATTTTAATTAAATAAATTTAATTTGGCGCACCCACAACTTCTGAAGACAAGTTGTTCTACTAATTAGAATAGAATAGAGTTGGAAGGGACCTTGGAGGTCTTCTAGTCCAGCCCCCTCCTGAAGCAGGAGAACCTATACCATTACAGACAAGTGACTGTCTAGCCTCTTTTTAAAAATCTCCAGATATTCCACTGGTTAATTGTCCTCACTGTCAGGAAGTTTCTCCTTAATTCCAGGTTGCTTCTCTCTTTGATCAGTTTCCATCCATTGTTTCTTGTCCTTCCCTCTGGTGCTTTGGTGAATAACATGACCCCCCCCTTCTTTGTGGCAGCCCCTCAAATACTGGAACACTGCTATCATGTCCCCCCCACCCTAGTCCTTCTCTTCTTTAGACTAGCCAGCCCAAGTCCTACAGGCATTCTTCATAAGTTTTAGTCTCCAGGCCTTGGATCATCTTAGTTGCTCTTCTCTGAATTTTTTCCAAACTCTCAACTTCTTTTTTGTGATATGGTGCCCAAAATTAATTGTCGGGAATTTCCCCTTAGTTCTAAGTTTTATTCGTTTCCACACTTTGTTTCCTGTCTTGCCTTCTGGTGCTTTGGAAAACAGCTTCCAGCTTCCAAAGAGGATAGACCTTGGGACGCTCCCTTCCTGACAGGGAGGAGGGATCAAGCACAGAGCTAGCCTGGAGTTGCTGTGTCAGCTGCCCCCTTAATGCTTGCTTGTGCTTTGCTACTGTTTGGTGACAAACTGCTATGAACTAGGGGGAGGTGGGAAAGCCAAAGGGAAAACGAAAGTAATTGCTGTATCTCTTTGAGAGGCTGCTTCAAGGTCATCCAGCATGCCATCTGCATACCATTCCTGCTTGAATTTGACTGGTGACACAGGGATGGGCAACGGGAAGTAACTAAGGGAGGGAAAAGTTGAATTTAGGGATTTTGGCACATGATTCTCAGTTCTGGCTATGCATTACTGCAACACACTTGGCTTCTAATAAAACTATACGCCTTTCCCAACAAATGGAGCCAAGGATCTTTTCTCTTTAGAGGTTTAAGTGGTGGCACGTCGGATATGCTGCACAACTGCAAAATGGCCAGTGCCACTCTCTCTAAATTTCTCGGAACTTTAATTGTTCCCAAAGATGAGTGAGCTATTAGACTGGGGAGGTTCCTATATTATAGGTGTTGTGTTCTCCGTTCGCATGCGAATGATGAAGACATGGTGGTAACAAACAATGCTTTATTCTCCTACTCCAACTCCAAGCAAAAAGCAAAAGGCACGCAGGCCTTTTTATAGGGCTTGAACCCCAGACAGAGTGAACCAATAAGAGTTCTTCTTTCTTCGCACCTTGTACATGCGCACAAGGCTGGCGCCACTCTGTCTGGTCCCGGGCAGCTTTTAGAATGCCCGGGACCATTTGCAACAATTCTGGGCCTGCTGAGTTTCCTCATCAGGCCCAGGACACAACAATAGGCAGAACATAATAAAATAGTTTGTTTGAAGTCTGCATTTGCAGTTCTGATTGTTTGTGCCCGAGAATAAATCCTTCATTTATTTATTTTTTTTCTTTTCCCAGTCTGAAGGCGTTAGGGAGTGTTTCGGGAACAATAGAGGGCTAGGGACAAAGTATTTGCAAACAAATCCAGTGGGTTGTGTGTTCCCACCTAAGATTGAGGAATGTCTGCATACAAACCACACATGATATATCTGCGGTCCCACCTTGCACTAACTGTGACTTGCCCATTTCCACCCTCGCAAAGTCTAATTTGCCTTGTTCCTGTTGGGCTGTCCCTTGGGATGGAGAACCGTAGACAACTGTCCCCATTTTAGATGGAGAGGACCGCTGGTTTAAAGAGTCCATCTAAGACAAAATTGAACTGCCCTCTTTCTCAACAGAGGGGGAGGGATACAGCATCATCTATCTCCAGTCTACAACACAGTCCTTTAAGCAGTTCCAAGAAGGCTCCACACTCATTTGCACCACTCAGGTGACCCTGAGGACACAGATAACCTCCAAGTGGCCTCAGCGACTCTTTAAAAGAAGGCAAATGACCAGCTGTCTGTAAGGAGTATAAATCCTTCCATTCCCCACATCCAGTTGGAGCTGAAGAAGCTCCTTGGATGAGAAGCAAAACATAGGTCAACCTCCAAGTGGCCTCAGCAACTCTCTAAAAGAATGCAAATGACCAGCTGTCTGCAAGGAGTATAAATCCTTCCATTCCCCACATCCAGTTGGAGCTGAAGAAGCTCCTTGGATGAGAAGCAAAACATAGGTCAACCTCCAAGTGGCCTCAGCAACTCTCTAAAAGAATGCAAATGACCAGCTGTCTGCAAGGAGTATAAATCCTTCCATTCCCCACCATCCTTCAGTCAGAGCTGAAGACGTTTCTTGGATAAGAAGCAAATCATCTTCAGAGGAAAACAGTGAAGGTCCAGTTTCTTCTTGAAAAAGCATCTTTAGGATGTAAACAAGTCCCTCCCTCCCTCCCCCCCCTCTCCCCTTGTAATTTTTGATCAAATAAAAAATACACAAAATACTGTATATAAATGATGGGTCTCTCATCCCAAATGTCATCTGCTGCCAAATTGCTCTCGTGAATTTGCTTTCGCAGAGCGCAGTCCCCAGAGAAGTGTGTTTTTATGGCAAGCAGTGTTTCCCACACACATGGGGGAAACTTGGCCTCAAGCACTGTCACGCAGATTTGCACCAACCTGCCTTGGGATTGTTATCCATGGTGTGTCCCTAACTGGAAACCCAGCAAGGAGGGCATGTCTGAACAGTCAAGAACAGAACGGAGAAAAAAACAGGAACTGACATAGGTATTCTGAGTTATGGAAAATGGCCTTTTGTAAAACCTAACCACAATTCTTGTGTTGCTGAGGCTTCCACATTTTTTTGTTCAGATTTCTATATGACTCAGGGATCTCAGTTTTTTTTTTAAATACAAGATGGTTCTGTCCCAAAGAGGGACTTTGATTTCAGACTCAAATATTTACTTTTGGACCTTTTAAATCTTGTACAGTCTTGTGATATATTATTTGCTAGTCTAGGACGTCATCAAATGTGGGCTCGTCTCTGTTCTCTGTGCTTGGTTGTTTCCTTGTAGATGTTTCATTATCAAGCTAGGCCACATCATCATTGCTAGAAGGGAGTGTGGTTTCTGAAAAGGAGGAGGAGGAGGAAGAGGAGGAGGAGTTGGTGTTTCATGACCCAACTAGGAAACATCATCAGTACTAGAAGGGAGTGGGGTTTTTAGGAAGGAGGATGAGGAGGGGGAGAACTGTGGAGTCCTTTGTGCTCTTTTGGCTTGTTTTCTTTCTGCAGACATTTCATTACCAAATGACGTAACATCA